GGGTTTGAACCACCAGCCTTCTGGTTAGCAATCAAGTGCCTTAGACACTATGCTACCAGAGCTCCCAACAACACCACACTAGGCAGAAATAAAGATTAGGACTCCGTCTTTCTTTTCTGTGCTGTTGGCAGCTTCACTGCTCAGTGCAAAAGTTTCCTTTGTGAGTTAGTTGTTTCAAATAGACTTTTCTCTGTAGAAGTGGAATTTTGCTTTATTTTTCTCAACGTCTTATTTTGGAAAATTTAAAAGATAAATAATATGAACAGATGACCCTCCATCTAGATTGACAAGTATTAACATTTTCCTAGAGTTTTTTTTTTTTCCTGAACTATTTGTGAGTTACAGAAATGATTCCTCACCCCTAACTAGACTTCATACTATTTAAACACAACCCCTCATTACATCTTTAAAATTAACAATTCTATATGTAACACACAGTTCATATTTCCCCAATTGCCCTAATTGGAACATTATATACTTTTTCAATCCAAGCACCATTCAAGGTTCATGCATTGCATTTGGTTAGCCACTGTCATTTTGTTTGTATTTCGCAGACTTGATTGATTGATTGAGAATCTAGGCACGTTGTCTTGAAAATGTTTTGCTATTCTGCATTTGTTTGATTGTTTCTTCAAATGGATTCAGGTTAAATATTTTGCCTGCCATCAGATGGCCTGTAAAATGTCAAGTTGTCCCAATACTGGTGATGCTAAATTTGTCTCATGGATAATGTGGTGACAGCCAGATCTCTCCATCACAAAGATAAATTTTTGCCTTTGTAAAATAACCTGTGAGGTGATACTTTGATACTGTGTAAGTATTCTATTCCTTATCATTCTTAGACACAATGCTTGAACATCCATTGAGGATATTACCTGCCTGAATCAATTATATTGGGAGATTGCAAAAGGGTGATTTTTCTAATTCTTCAATTCCTTCTGCATTTACTAGCTGGAATTACCTGGTAAAGAAAAAGTTTCCCTTCTGTTACCTCCTTTCTCCCTTTTAAAACACCATTATGAATTTCAATTTTTCTTTATTTTACACCATCATTATACTTTTTGATATTCAAATTGTTCCAAAATTGTCCAGTGGGAACCACTTCATTCTGGCTCTTGTGTCCTTTTGACATGACTTTGAGCACTTCTTTGTTTTTTTGGCACAAGATGTCCCAGGCTTAATCTGTACATTCCCTGTCCCAGATCTGGTATCAACCATTTCTCAAAAGAGCCCTGGTTCCTTGGGGTATGATATTTAGTAATCAAGATCTGGATATCATTGCTTGTAGGCTCTTTAAGTGAACAGAGCTATGGAATGAAGGGAGGGACAAAAGCAAGCAGGGTTTAGACTAATGCAACATCACAGCATTCTTCCTCATCTCCCCCCATTCCATATCTGTATTTTGCTACTCTCAGAATGAAACCCTAGTTTCCAACATAAATATGTTTACTCTTTTCAGAATCACAACACCCATACCACTACCAACTAAGTTCAGTAGATTTTTGCATACCACTACCCTAAGTTCAGTAGATTTTTGCAGTTTGTTCTTGTATCTCACTAAAAATATAGAATACTGTGTTCAAAAATTACTTGAATTTTTCTTCTCTGGAGTTATCAATCTTACATATATTTTA